AAAATTTAATACTATTTAAACTATATAATATTTTTTTTAAAAAAATAATGTTAAAACAGATCTAATCTTTAGTTTTAGTTTTAGTTTTTTTATTATGGAGATCTAATCTTTGGGTTTTTTTTTTTGTTTTTTCTTTTTTTATGGAGATCAATCTTTGGTTTGTTTGCTAATAAATAAAGTTTCACTTAGTTGAGATTCATGAAAAATGGTGGCTTCTGCTAGTCCACCATACACAGCTCAGGCGGCGTGGGAGTAGAGACACCTAGTTTGGGTTTCTGGGATGATTATTGATTCGACCCCAAGCCCGTCCTTTCTCCTCACCGAAGACCTTTTTCTCCCTGCATGCAAAAAAATATGGAGTACATAATTTCACCAAAAACTTCACCTTGGAAATTAGTTCCATCTCCGTCCAAAAAATAATACAGTAATAATAATAATTCCATCACTCTTTTTCTTTTTCCCTTTTTTTTTTTTTGACAAATTAATTCTTACTCATGCACATGCACATGGCAATTGAGGGACCACCACGTTAGTCATCTGTGCACACCTCATTTAGTACAATTAAATTTTTTGAGCCATTAGGTACTTTCAAGAGTTTCAAGCCACAAATTGCCTCATTCACCAAAAAAAGGAAAAAAAAAAAAAAACTACAAATTATCTAGCTATCATGGTTATCACTACCAATAACAATGTTAGAATAATTAAATTTGTAAAATATTATTTTTAAAAATATTAATTTTATTTAATTAATTGATGAAAATAATTAATAATTATAATTATAATTATTAACTAAAAATTAAAATTAATTAATAAATTAATTTTTTATATACTATTTAAAAAAAAATTAAAATTTTAAAGACATTAACAATTTTAACATGACAATAGCCACCCCAAATTTGTCTCCTTAAGTCAAGATTCTCTCACCTTACAATGTATTAAAATTATTTACACCTTAATAACCACGTTGGTGGGATTTAATTTGCATTTTATAATATTTTATAATATATTAAATGATAAGTTATACAATAAAACATATTCCTCCATTCAAATGCTTTTTACTTTGATTTAAATTCAAAACTTTTAATTTTAAATTTAATTTTTTTTTGTATTAACCTATCGGTATCCAATAATCTCTCATTGAGTCTCGACTAATTTAAAATCGAGCCGTATCGAACCCCATAAAAGATTTGTTTCTCTATTCATAAAATTTGAATTCAAAATTTTATTTAAAAAAAACTGAATTCTTTTTCTTCAGATTAATAAATCGTTGGTTAAATTTTAAATTTTTAATCAATTAAGATACCATATTGAGCTAAAAATTTTATCTTATTTTACCCATCTCACAAAAACACTTTTTTGAAGTGTAGATCTAGATTTGGAGATTTTGCCTTTTTTGGTCTTGGTCGTTTAATTGTGGCAGACAAAGTTGGATATTTCGGCTTATATATTTTCCACTTTGATGTTGGACAAGAATTACCGATATCTAATTCCACGTGATTCACTCCGGTGAGATAGCCGTGACCAAACTAACGTTGATCCCATGAACTTGCTTCTAGATTTTTATAACTTCTACCTAATTAAGTTTCATATTATAGAAAAAACAACAACGTAAGAGCAATGACATTCGAAATGAATAATAATAGATTTGTTTAACATCAACTTTATTCAAGTCAAATAAATAATTAATCGAGTTGTTACATGATGAACCTATTTTTAGATTCCTATAATGTCAACTTAATAATACAGCAGTACAGACCAACTATTAATGAAGTACATTATTATAAATGGAATTATAAATCGAACGAAGCATAAAATCAGACAAAAACATTTTAAGATTCAAATATTTTTGTAGAGTACCGGTTAACTTGCAACCCGCGGGCTGGATGCAGCCAAAATGGATGTGTCCCTCACCACAAATCAAGGATTTGATTCTTCCTGCACCGGTTGTTTTCTGAAAAGCCATACAGGGCAAGAAAACAACTGGACCATTAGCGGTCCATATCAGAAAAGAAACAGAAAATACTATACACTGAAAATGATTATACTTATAATATTACATATTATTGTAAATTTTTAATTATAATATATCATTATATAATTTTTTTTTTTTTTTTCAAATTTTTGTTTATATATTTTTTATATTTTTTTTTTATTATATATTTTTGTTTTTTTATATATATTTTTTTGTATTATTTTATCTTTATCATTTTACATATATATATGCTATCATTAAACAAGACTTTTTATATAAAACCGAAAAAAGAAAAACATGTTTTTTTTTTTTCTCTTATGCAATTGATAGTGTAATTTTCTAACGCAATGGACAAAATTTAGGTATCATAAATGGACGTGTCCTTTACATATGTATGTTATCAAATTAAATACGTAATGTCTTAAAAACATATTTATATATGGTACCTATCTAAATCATGAGTAATCGTTCCTAAAACTCTTGGGCAAGTTGAGTTGCATGCTTTTTCCTTCATTCTATCGTTTTTTTTTATTTTTTTGTTGGAAAAATGATTCTTTCACTCTTGTTAATTAATTAGTGAATGGATATATGAATTGATTAAAGACTCTCAGTCTTCTCGGCCTTGGTCATTTTAATTGTGGCAGACAAATTAAGTTGGATATTTTGGCGCATATATATTTTCCACTTTGATGTTGGACAAGAATTACGTACCGATCGATATCTTATTGCCCCTGATTCACTCTGGTGAGATAGCCATGACCCAAGTGAAGTTGACCCCATGAACTTGCTTCTAGATTTGTATAACTTCTACCTAATTTTCATATTATAGAGAATACAGTAACTTAAGAGCACTAACATAGGTGATGAATAATAGATTTGTATAACATCAACTTATTCAAGTTGAATAAATAATTTATCGAGTTGTTACATGATGAACTTATTTTTAGATTCATGTAATGTCAATTTAATATCAATTTTCGATTTTTATTGGCTGAAAATAAAAGAAAATTTCTTAAACAACTAAGAAAAAATAGTTTAGTTTAATGAGGTGTATTTTTTTTTTTTTTACAAAGATAATGGTTAGGTAGTTAGTATGAATTAGTTGTTACAACTGGTTTTCAAATCGAATGAACATTTCATCCTCTCAAATGAGGCGTGTGGCCATCAGGCCGATTTTTGATGAAATTCACAACAATAGTGGAGTTTGAAACTCCGACCACATTACCCAAACACTTAAGGTTTGGGGTCGAACCATTGGACCTAAAGGTGTGGTTCTAATGAGGTGTATTTTATTTCAGGATAAGAGATGCAATACTAAAATGTTTGCAATCGCATTATTTACTTTAGTTTCTTTCTTACTTTAATTTTTTTTTTTTAAAGATCTAAATTTAAGTTGAACCGAAGGTTCTGGTGTGGACTTGAATAACCCCAAAGTGGTACAAGGACCGAGACCCCATACGCCCAGGACCACCCACTCGTTTGCCTACCATGTGTTTACATCACATTTTTGTTTACCTTGACTAGGACAGAAGGTAGGCTTTCCTAATTTCTGATGGGTGTGTGAAGTTCCATTAACGCCGCTGAAACTTGCGGATTTAAAACTTTCACATGGTTAGATTTGGACCAGATATTTATTTATTTTTTAATTTTTTTTATGAGAGAGGCCAATTTGATAAAATTTCACGAGGGAGAGGGAGAGGGAGAGGGAGAGGGAAGAGAAAGGAAATAAAAATATAAATTTTAATTATATAGATAAAAAAAAAATAACTTTATATTATACAAGACAACGGCTATTATGTGGAGGGCGACAAATACAAGTCATCCCTCTTAGATTGCGTTGAACACAGGGCTCCGAGTCCAAGAAAATTGTTGTCCCCACTATTGAGAATGGAGCTCTGTTATACAAGTCATATCATCTGTCTGGAAAAAATGGTGAACTTAGTAAAGAGAGAAACTGCATTAAGCTGTTCCACTCAAGCCAAGAATTCTTCTTGGATTTTGATTAACTGCGTGTATAACCCATCCTTTTGAAGGAGTTCCGTGTGGTCACCCATCTACAAAGAATACATGCACACAAATGACACATCCAAAACTTAGTGAAGAGAAAATAATTGAGAAATAATACATGCACACAAATGACACATTCAAAACCGCATGAAGAAAAACTAATTGACAGATAAAACCAACTTAATATAAAATTACAAAGAAGGCTCCAAACCTCAACCACTTCACCCCTGTCCATTACAACAATCCTATCAACGGCTTTTATGGTAGACAGCCTGCAAAAAGATTTGGTCATAAAGATGCATCCCAAAGTTAAATTAAAATAAATCTAGAGTAGGTGAAGAAGACACACCTGTGTGCTATCACAATAACAGTTCTTTTTGTTTCATCGTCGTTTCTGAATGCATGCAGGAGCCTCTAGATGGTCATTGAATTTGATGTATAAGTTGAAACATACAACACACCATCATCAGAAATAGCATGGACAAACTGAACTCATTGAGGTGATATTCAACCCAAGAAAAAAAAGAAGTTAGGGTGGAGCAGGGCAGTTAGAATTATTCTCATCTCTTAATGAGGGAGGGGCAGCTGCTACTAAAGAAAATTGGAAGCTGCCCCTGCACCACCCCTATTGCCATCCCTAGTTTTGCATTTAAACACTAGGGAAATAGTTTTGAACTGCTTACTTTGATATATTGCTCACTTTCAGAGTCTAGAGCACTGGTGACTTCATCCAGAATAAGGATTGTTGGGTCTCTAAGAATGGCCCTAGCAATAGCAATTCGCTGCTTTTGTCCCCTACTGAGCAAGTCATCATCAACAACAGTTTCATATCCATCAGGGAGAGATGAAATAAATTCATGAGCATAGGCCTGCTTTGCAGCTAACTCTATATCTTCCTCTTTAATTTCTCTAGGACAACCATAACTAATATTTGA